GAATGTGATATAGCTAAATAGATGTGAACTATATTTCAATGCCCTTACTCTTAATCTATATTGCTGTAACTTCTCTTAATTAATGTATATATATATATATATATATATATATATATATATGTACATGTTTTGTTTTATTTAAGTTTTCATTTTTTTCTTGCTCATTATTGTGCCCATCACATAGAACAGCGTCTAACACATAGTGGGTGTTCAGTAAACTTTGATAACATAAAAATAAGCCCCAAGACTTTTAAATTCCATAATTACTTGATTAAAGTATGTCTTATTTTGGAGCTCTAAAATTTTATGGCACAAAAATCAGTTGCAAATGTACCATTTCTGATTTTCAGCATGTTCTAATCTTGTATAGAAAAAGGAATTTGTATTAGAGATGATTTATTACTCATTACTAATATTTATTTTTGTCACTCATTTTCGGTTTAGAGTAACTGATCTTCATGAATTCTGGATGAGACTCCATATTTTCTGCAGTGTGTGTTTTATTTCCAAATGCCTAGGGGAGAACACTTGTAATTAATGATGATTTTGTCCCTCCAATTCTAGCATCTGTTGTAATTGAAGATACAGTACATGCGATGTGATATTGTGCAGAGCACTGTTGTTCTGGGCACTGGTTCCTACATGGGTTAATGATATTATCCCTCCCAGCTTATGCACAACAGCCCTGTTCCTCACATCACATTTATATGGCTCCTATAAAGGAAAATGAACAACTTGCAATACCAACTGCTTTCAGTTCATCTATTCATTTTATTTTTTCTTTTATTTTGAAGAGAATAAAAACAAAACAAAACAGAACAAACTAATCAGAACAGAACAATGAAAGTGACCCAGGACTTCAAAACAGATAATAAGAAATCAACAATGGATATTATAATGTTTCTCCTTTTCTTCAAAATGACTGTCCATATCAGACATAATAAAATAAAAAACAAAACAATAAAATCAATCATGCCAGACATTGAATAAAGCAAAACAATAAGATAGAACAAAACAAAACAGTTTGAGAACATTATTGGATTTCAAAAACAAAACAGAAATAAATCTTTCATATTTGCTACATTGCATATTGTTATCCTCTTAACAGATGCTCAGATGACCAGTTTTAAGCCTACAAAGTCAAATAATGGAAGCACGAAGAATGTTTTTGTACCTCACTTGCTGTCAACTCTGCCTATCTAAATCAGTCAGTTGCTTGCTGGTGATGGAGTGGACTGGGATTGGGGGGTGGTTCTTGTCTCCTACCCTGCATTATTTGTTGGCTCATGGGCAGGATGAATTGGCTTCTTATTAATCCTACCAGGGCCAACATGGCTTCTGCCAGCTAACGGCAAGGGTGAATTGGCTTTTTTTTTCCTCCTGGGCCCTCCATGGCTTGCCTCCTCTATTTATTTTAGTAAAAGTAATTATAAAAAAAAACCAGTAAATTCTCGCTTTAACTCCCTTGATTACTTGCCTTAGAAGATTTTATTTTGGGTAGATGGCAAGTGCACCTCTCAGAATAATTAGTTAAAAATTGTTAAATGTATATTTGCTTAGAAAAACTTTGGCTATCTATTGTTAAACCAAAGAATAAGAGTATCAGAAAATAGCATGTAAAATATAATTTGAATCATTATCAATGTGCTCTGAATGGTGCAATTGAAATTTTTTGATGAGGATGTGCAGATATTCTAAGTATAGTACAGTGTATATTTATATGTATGTAAATATGTATTTTTAATGTGTATTTATATGTATGTATATATGTATGCATTTAGTTTTAGAAACATTTTTTACAACAGAACACAGAGGCTGAGTGTGGTGATTCACATCAGTAACCCCAGCACTCAGAAACTCGAAGTCAGCCTAGACTGTATAGCAAGACCCTACATAGACACAACTAAGCAAAAACTCAAAAAAGATGCAGAAAACCAATTATTATTGTCCTTCCCTACCATTATAATAAAAAACAAGCTGTCTTGGTTTAATTCTGAAAGATTTAAAAAATTTAATCACCTTTTATCACTTAACTGAGACAAGAAAAAGTGCAATAGCCTAAAAGTATATGGCAACTGAAGACTGACACCCCTCAAAATGCAGTAATCACCCTGATTCTAGAAAGGTTCCACTGTTTCAGCATGAGAGGGCAGAAGGGTCCTAGAAGAGACCTGGTGTGCTGTCTGAGCTCACATGCTATCTAACTTTCACTTCTGTAAAAACTGCTTGTATCGTTGGACCTTAACCACATTGCAAACAGGAAGCCAAGGAAAGCATTCCTTATATCAAACTAGCCTTCAATCTTTGGTCATGCTTTTTATACAACTACTTGACTTCAAGCATATAGAAAAGGAACATTTGTATGATTCTGTTGTCTTTAGCATGCATGCGCTTATGTTCATTGTTTCAACTCCAATGTTCTAGGTGCAGACCTCTTTAAATTTTATGCAAACTTTATACATTTTCCACATTGATTTATTTCATAACTGCTGGTAAAAGCTCAATTTGGAACATATAGTTTGTAAATGTCTCTTAAAATGACTCTTAGTGGACCATGTATCAGCTCTCAAATTCTTAGACTTTCTGGAACCACAGTTTCAGTTCCTGGCAGACTTACATAGCTCCTTAATTTTCTGTGTGATAAGGTACATTCCTTATAGTTCAGCATATTTGAGTCTTTTGGAAAAAAAAATTTTCCCCAAAGCACAATGTTAACCACCTAATTAATGAAGAGCTCCCCCAAAGAATTTTCTGAGGTTTGTCTTTTTAAAATATCCAAAAGCTCATTAGAGCTCAATTTAAAACATACCAGCAACTATCAACTAATTATTCTCTTGTATTGACTTAAATTCTTTCATTTTTAGTATTTTTTCAACAATAAAGATTTAAATCTTTCCTTTTCAGTCCTACTAAATTCAAAGTATATTATTTCAAAAATAATTTATGCATTTTAACTTTAAATTCCAAAAATGAAGAGTACTTTTTTCCTTTCATTTCTTCTTTATAGTCACAAACTCTTCTTTCTGCCATTTTAATTTTATGCAAATAGTCAATAAATGTGCCTCATATGTAATACTTTTTAACTCACAAGCATCCATGTGAAGTACAAGCTATTATCAGTTATATCTTATAAAATATCTCCATGTTGTATGATCTTTTTTCTCCTCTTTGGGACAGATACTGAATATAAAGGCTTTAGTTCATTATTTCAACCTTTTATTTGTTCACCAGTTAAATCTTCATTTCTAATTGTGTCTCTTCACCACTTTACACCTGCTCTTCCAAATGTTCATGATCAAAATCTTGACATATGTTGAACTTAATGTCCTCTTCGTAACTCTTAACTTCCCTTCTTTGTTATTATTCTTCTGTGTTTTCTTCATGTGAGTTCTTCTACAACCGCATTCACTAGGTGTTGAATTTATTATTGTGTTTTTATTATTTATGTATGCTGTTAATAATGTACTTGTACATTATTTATAATTAAAATGCTGCTAAAATATGTACTAATATATATGTAGTAAATTGTATTTTTATGTGCTCATGCATTTATATATAACTAAAATGTATAAGTATTTTTTCATAGCTAGCTAATATATTGAATTATTTTTATACTTTTAAAATATTTTAAATAATTATTTTATACTTTCACTTTCAATGTGGAGAGTGTTTGTTTTGCTGTTTCCTTCATCAACATAGAATTTTAACTATAATGACTGTAATAATAGAAGTTTGACACAAATATACTTTTGTAAGCAGCACTCTATGCTGGCATCATTCTAAATTCCTTATGTTTATTTAATATTTTAGTCCTTATGTTAACCTGATATTGTAGCCCTCCTTTTTTTCTTTCTTTATTTATGTGTTTGTTTGTTTGTATGTTTTTTGAGACAGAGTCTAGTTCAAGCTAGACTTGAATCCGCTATGTAGCCTAGGCTAGACTCAAACTCACAGCAGTCTTTCTGCCTCAGCGTTCCAAGTACAGGGATTATACATACCTACCACTTGCACAGCCATGGAGTTTTTCTTGCTATTGAAAATTATAAACAAAGGAAATAAAGTTAAAAGGCCATATAAGCAATAAGTACATATGAATGATGCTTTTAATAACCTTAGTTTTCTTACATGTTATACTACAGTTTCTCTTAATGCATATATGCATATTTTATTTATTTACTTATTTATTTACCCTTTTTTAATTATCAAGGATTGATCCATAACCAAAGATATTCGGTGATAGCATAAAGGTACTACATTGCATATATAAATGTTTATTATATTATACACACATATATGGAGAGAATCCATGCTATAGCCACTCAAGATTTCACTATGTCCATCAACTTGTCTAAGTCCAAATGAATATAGTGTTTTTATTTAATTTATTATGTTACACTGAATATGGACACCAGATATGTACCATTTGAAAATATAACTCCCCTTATATTCTTGCTAAAAATGTTCATGCATACATGAATGTTTCTTAACTCTAAGACAAAATGTTTCAAATTAATGTAATAGAAAAAACTATCCCCCACATTTAGCAAACTGTCTTTCTAAAGGCAGTTTTGGAAAGAATTTTAATTGTATCCTATTCATTTCATTCATAACAATTACCAACATGATTTGTCAAGTTCAATGAGAAAATCTCAAATTCATTTGTAAAGATGATATTCTTTCTTTCCTAAGTAAATTGTAATATAAGTAGAAAAAACACAACATTGCTCAAATCAAGAAGGTACCAGAACTGGGCATGGCAATCCAGGCCTGTAATTCCAGCACTCAGGAGGCTGAAGCAGGAGGGTTGCTGCTGTTCAAGGCCAGCCTGAGTTGCATGGAAAGACTCTGCCTCAAAAAGACAAAAAAGAAAACAAAGAAAAAGGAAACCAGAAAAGTATCCTTGACTGTTTTAGTTACAAAACTCCGTTCTTTAGTAACATTATAGTTATGTACTTTAAAAAAGCTTTTAGAAGCAGAATTAGAATTTGTAAACTTTTTTTATATTTACCTGGCAGGGGAGATACCATGTCCAAAAAGTGGTTTTTCCGGTAGGGAGCTTATCCATTGCACTGCGGATGTGCTGACCCTTGCAATCTGTCCAATTGTGGGGAACCTGACTGCTTACTCTATGGTAGTGGGGACTGCATTCACGCTTTCCCCTGAAAAAGAGAGAGAGAGAGAGAGAGAGAGAGAGAGAGAGAGGAATATGTAAACTTTTAGATCACTTGTTTTATGAGAAATAGAAAGAAAAGGAATGTGATTCATTTGTTATCCTTCTCATTACTAAAGAAAACTGTTTGGCTGAGGCAGTCTCACAACTTAAAGCTTAATGACTCCAAGCAGGCTTTCTGGTTTATGGTCAGAATTCAAAGGCAGATGACTTGACAGCTCTTAAAGAGGGATCTGTGGAATTGATGCAAATTCAGCCTTTGTGTATGCAAAAGTATAGAAACAGTACGGCCTCATTAACAGCTACCCATCACTAAGGAACAAATTATTTTCAGACATTTGATCTAACCAATCCATTATAGCTAAAGCAGTATTCAAAGTGAATATAATGTTGCCAACCGTCTAAAACAAGAGTTGAGTGACTTTTTCTAAGGACTATATAGTCACTACTTTAGGTCTTGTACAAGGTATGGTTTCCATAATCACTGCACAGTGTGCTGTAAGGCAGAAGTAGTTGTGAAAAATATGTAAATGAATGAGAATGACTATCTTTCAATAAAGCTGTTTTTACAAAAATAATGGCTAGCAGTTTTGTTGAAACCTGATCTAAATAGTGCTCAATGTTACCAAACAATTTGCAAATATCAATACATACTCTGGTTTTGCAAATAAAGAAACTAAATTGAAATTTAAATGACTTCTTCATAGTTATAAGTATATATAAAATGTATGTAGAAGTTATCACTTAGAGAGCAGCTAAAGAAGATTACTTGGGTTTCTACCTAATAAAAGATTAATGTCCAATATCTGCAGGAGTCATCTAAAATCCCACTAGATTTTCTTAGTAAATATAAACTTTTATCATTATTCTATTAAAATGATGCATAAATACATTAATATATCGAGATCATACATGTTTATCTTCCCCAAAGCCAAATATTCTTCATTGTACTTAAGAGAAAACAAATGTGAAAACACGGTAACTTCCTTGTGCCCAAAGGAGAGCGACAATTTTCACTACCAAGTCTACCTCAAAAAAAAAAAAAAAATCAGAAAATGCAGTCCTGAATGGCTATTTTGTTCCAAGTATTTTATAGCTCTTTCTCCCATTATAAAAATGGGAAAGTGACCTGGAAATGAAAATTTTTCCTCAGGGACAAATTCCTATAGATTTATTATCTTGCCTCAAAGGGATGGGATTGAGCCATTTTTATAGCCAAAAGTTACTTTTATTTTCAACATAAAGAGTCTTTCTGTAGAGTCTTGCAATGTGTAAAAGGATAACTCTGCTGAGGACTTCTCCCTCCTCTGCAGGCACCAAGACCCCATCACTGATATTTGCCAAGTAAGTTAATAGCACTCCAGTAGTTTTCTGCCAGATATGTGAATTTGGAATGTTGTGAAACATTAAAATTATGGGGCCCTGGATCTCACACACCTCAACCTTATTCTCCAGAGTCACAGGCAACTGCCCTCACAATGATCTATGCTTCCTGGAGTTGGATTCTGAATACCTGTGTTTTTTTTCAACTATCCTTCCGGTGATTCTCAGGCACAGCCATTGATACAAAAGGAGAGAAATTTCTCAGATAACATGCAATCTTTAAAAGTCAATTTTTGAAAAGTGCTTATTTATCAGAAATATGTGTGTCCCTAGTGTGTCTGGAAAATATGCAAAAATACCCACCTTCAAAAGCACTCACCACACTATCAAAGGCAGCATTGGAAGCCGGTGGAATTAATCCTGTCAGACTTCATGAGGTCTTCCCTCGGCTCATCCCCTCCAGCTCTATCTAACCCAGTGCTGATTTCATCGTGTTCTGGGAAGACCCTGTCAGCAGTCTTCCATTTCCCACGCTAGGTCAGTTAGGGCTACTCTTCAGAAAGGGAAATTTGAGCAATTCCAGAAAGTAGCACCACCAGCAAACTACACACCAGCTGACAGTAAACAAAATAAATTTGCAACTGCCTATCTTTCCTAAATTACCATTGGGATATTTTTAACACTGGTGACATTTTGATCTTTAAGGATAGCTCCTTAACAAGCAACAATATTATATAAAACTTTTAAGCCCACATAGCAGATGCCTCTCCTGTGGGCTGGGACCTTCATGGGATTTATCCAAAGTCTGTTAATGAATTTATCATGAAAACGACAGTTAACAGCTTTTTAGATTTATCATCAATCTTATTTTTCAAAGACTATAATGGTGTTGTGTGAACTGGCAGGCTCCCAGCACTTAACCTGATTATGACTGACAGTTGCTGGATATCAATCTAACGAATTTGATTAAATTGGTATTTTAATTCATTAAAGCTTCTGTATCATGTTATGAGACAAAATAATGTATAAACGATGGAAATTTTCTTCTCAGAGTTCTCCAAGCTGGATAGTCCAAGATCAAGTAGTTGGCAGATTCAGCGTCTGCAGATGACTACAGTCTGCTTCTAATATTAATGCAACATCCTCCAAAGGACCTGAGCATGATCCTCACATGGTAGAAGAGGGGAAAGGTAAAATGGGGAGAACAGAGCACCTCAATTCCTTAACAAGAGCTCCAATCACTGATTGCTCCACCAACTCACCACCTAAAGGTGTCACTTCTTAATACTATTGCCTTGGGATTAAGCCTTAGTATAAATTATAAGAGGGTCAAAAAATTCAAAGCATTGCAAACTTCAGTTGAAATTACAGCTGAACATAATCATATGGATCACAATAATCATGTATTTAGGAAGTGATGAGAGTTTATCATCAAAAGAAGGAATTACTTCCTTTACTAACTTCATTGGATATTAATTGATCATTTTATTTGGCTTCCTAGTGCAGCATTAGTTACAGATAATTTATTTTAATAAATTCAGCTTTTGCCCTCCATAAAACCACATATTTCTGTTTTTTATATTGCTTCACCTTCAGTAATCTATTCCTATGCTATATCTTCTAAAAACTTCTCTAATATCTTGTTTCCACGGTTTGAACCACCAAATTTCATTGCTGTGTTGGTTACTTTTCTCTTTTTATTGAGACTAAATATCTGACGTCCAAAATTGGTTTATTAAGCTTACAGTTTGTGGACATTTCAGTCCATACACAGCTGCTTCCAAGACACGGTGGCGTGGCAGAGGGGCAGCTGTTCATGGTGTCAAAAAGAAAGCAAACAACAAGGGCAAAATGGGGGAGCAGAGAGAAGACCCTTTCCCTTCTTTCCCTCCCTTATAATGTATACTGCATTAGTCTACCCGCACCCACAGTCCCCGCACTGACCCATGAATCAGTCACAAACTCTAAGCATGGGTAGAGAACATCTAGACACAAATCATAACGCTTGCCTGGATTATTACTATTGGTTATGCTCCTTCACATTGATCTTGTTTCCACTCTTATTAAATTCTGCTTTTAAGAGGCACCTAGCGCATACATCAGTAACATTCATCACTGTGTATAAGTTTTCAGTGAATTCTCTTCTCAAAATTTCAACCCTGGATTACAACAACACATTGCCTGGTTTTCCCCTTCCTAGAAAGGAATAAGGCTTTCCGTCTCCTATGGCTTCTTGCTCTAACTGTTCTGTGTTCCTTTGTTGATTCCCTCATTGATTATATTAGCCTACTTTTCTGTCTGGCACATTATTCCTTCCCTGCCTTGCTTGCAAATCTTTTTCCAGTTCTAAAAGTTAGAACTTTGATCCCACTTTTTTCCAGGAAATGTGCCTTAAGTTTGAATAAAAGCTGATCCACTTCTGCATCTTCATTCTGGAACATTACTTCATATACTTCATTATATTATATATAATATTATCATCACATCATTCTAATGTGATAAGAACAGTGAGCTCTCTGAATGTACGACTACATTTTTCTTATTCTTTTAATTATTTCAAGGAGCTACCATTATCCTCAAGCCAAATTAATAGATAAGTGAGTGACTAATTATTTCCACTCTGAGTAAAAAATATTTCTATAGGGTTTGCTTCATGTTCAATAGACAAATATTTATGGACTTTACTTCATCATAGCTAAAAAGATAAAAACAAACATACTCTATATATTTTCATGAGTTTATGATCCTATTGACCCTTATTGAATACTGATGTCAATAACATTTATCAGTTAACAGCTGATAACACACTACTCATATATTTGGAGAGTAAAGTGAGCTAAAGTGACGTTTGGTGAAAGACAATAAACAAAAGGGAACAGTGTAATGAGACCTGTCTCAAAATAAGATGCTAAATGAGGCTGGTGTGTAATTCAGAGGGAAGGCTCTGAGTCAATCCCCAGTTCCATGACAATCCCCAATACCAAAAAATTCATTAACTAGTTAAACAAACCAAACAGGAGACTAGATGGAGGAAGAAATGCTTGTTATATAATGATATTCAAAGCAATTACTTTACTCACAGTTCCCAATTCATGTTTCCGAATATACACACTTTGGGTATATACAAAGCGTCTGTCAGATGCAAACATGGGGCTTCATCAATTGTTATTTGACTGACTGTGATCCAATTATTTACATTTTCTAAATCCATTTGACATTTATATTCTAAAAGGCAGAAACAAGCAAGAAGTATGAACTAAGAAGTCCCATATACATCTAAAACCCAATAGGATACACAATATTAAAATCTCAAAGACTGAGAACAACATTTGACTTTGTGCATACCTTTCAGATACTGGGGGGATATGTGGGTCCCCACACCTTCAGGCAGACATTGCTATGCATCTCAAGGTTTGCAGCAGGGACCTGTAGCTCTTCTAAGCTGGTGTTATGTGTTGGTGATGCTTCAGTCTGTGTTCTTGGGATCAGCCCTGTCCCCGTGGCTCCACTCAGCATTGCTTTGTGAGGAGTTCTCTACAATGGTCTCAATCCAGTTTTTCCACTGGCCTGCTGATGTTGTGGCAGCCTCCCTCCTGGTACATCTCTACTTGAACCTCAAAGCTCTCTGAAGCATCTTTTAAAATCTCTGTGAAGAAAGCCATGGCCCC